TATTATATATAATAACTATTACATATAATAATTATTACATATAATAATATATATATATATATTATTTAAGACTGAAACAGAGTAATAAATATTTTTCATTTGAAATACCCTAAACGTGTTAACGTTTATACTCTCGATTATATTCCTTTTTCTTTTTTTTTCTACCCTCCCCCATCCCATTTTCCCCAATCCCTTAACATGAAAAAGAAACTTCGGTGTGTGACCGACAGAATAAAGAATTAAACTTTGAAATTAGAATTCCTAAACGTGAGAGAAAAACGATTCATATTCTTTTTCTACTACTAGGTGTAGGTGGTAGGATCTCTAGACCAATCCCTACCCTACCCTACCTCCCCTCCCCTTCCCATCCAATCTATATTACCCTTAACCTTTTTGGATAGAAAAAGAAGGGTAGTAGGAGGAAGACGAGTCTCGCTAGGATCGTAAAAACCATGCCATGAAAATCGTGTTCACCATTCGTGTTCTCATTCGTTCGTTCTTTCGTTCTTTCGTTCTTCGACTTTCATTCGTTCGTCCTCTCGCCAATAGTGCGAATGCGAGACTGAAGAATTTTTCCATTTATCGCCTTTCTTGCATGAACGCATACAAGAATTTCGATAGAACGGAATATGGGCGTTCGAAATGCTTTGCTTCCTTTTTCATCACCTATTTTTCTATTTCTTTCTTTCTATCTTTTTCTCTTACACACAGATATACATATATACACATACAAGTTCACTTATTCTTTTTCTATCTCTTTCTCTCACATGCACATGCACTTGCACATGCTCCTACACATGCACCTGCACATGCACATGCACCTGCACATGCACATGCACATGCACTTGCACATGCACCTGCACTTGCACATGCACCTGCACATGCACCTGCAGATGCACATGCACATGCACATGCACATGCAACTGCACATGCACATGCTCCTACACATGCACCTGCACATGCACATGCACATGCACTTGCACATGCACATGCACCTGCACATACACATGCACATGCACATGCAACTGCATATGCACATGTACGCACACACTCGTTCATTCTTTTTCTATCTCTTTCTTTCTTTCTTTCTTTCTTTTTCATTGACTATTTTTATCGGATATATACATACAAGAAATATGAGAAATGGTATAGAGAATATTACCTCCTTCTTCTCGACATTGAATATCTAATCGATAACAGTGTGATCGTTCATGCGTGTACACTCACTCCTTAGGTTTGATGTCGTGACTTCGGAGATACTTTCCTAACGCGATTATCCACGATATTGTTATTATTATTCAATTCTATACTACCTTGTATTCTTATACTTTTGTTTTTTCTTTTTTATTCTTTTCTTTATTATCAATTTCAAACACGTCAATCCGAAACGTTCGATGCAGAATATCAAAATTTACAGTAGCAACGCAACGCAACGCAACGCAATGCAACGCGTGCATACAATTTATTATCTATTCGTTTTTATACTACGATTATAGGATTTTTTTGTTTTGTTTAAATAACGATATGTGCGATCTGAATTGTTAACAATTTAAATCAAACTACTCGAATTGAAATTTCATTTTACACAATGTGAATATAGTTAAAAAATAGTAATATGAGAGTTTATAATAAATTAATTTTAAAATAATCGTAAGAATCACATTGTAATATATTATTCTCGTAATTATAAATTATTATTGTGTAGTTTTTTTTTTAACTAATATCAATAAATATTATAAGTACTATTAAATGAAACGTTTGAATATAATATTCAATTAAATTAATACCGAAATTTTGTTTTATGTCAACAGGTCAATTAGTCCCAGAATTTGTACCAGAGTTTTTAGCCCCTTTGGAAAATCACACGGTAATCCAGGGTCGTGACGTGTCATTTACTTGCGTCGTTAATCATTTACAAACTTACAGGGTAATTTATTATAAATAATTATATATTAATATTTTATTAAAATAATCGAAAATATAATTCATCTTTTAGATCATTAATGATAGATACTTCAATAAAATAATGTTATCGATTACAATCGTGTGTTTTAATTTCATTATTATCATTATATTATATTATTTTTAACAATAAAATATAATTAATAATAATAATAATAATAATGTTCATAGGTTGCTTGGATTAAATCAGATTCTAGGGCGATCTTAGCTATACATACACGTATGGTTACACACAACCCAAGGCTATCTGTTACTCACAATGGACACAACACGTGGAAACTGCACATATCAAACGTCCAGAAGAATGATTCAGGCAGTTACATGTGTCAAGTCAACACAGATCCTATGCGAAGTCAGGTAAATTGTTATAGTATTATATAATAATAATAATAATAATAATAATAATAATAATAATAATCAATTGCATTCGCATTAGAGAAATGACGTTTAATTTAAAATTGA